TTTATTTTACAATTAAAAATATATTTAAATCATTATATTCTTAATTATGTTATTATATAAATTACTGTAAGATTATAATCTAAAATAATAAAATTTAAAATTAGTGACGGATTAGCAACATAATAGAATTAGCGATGGAATTAGTACGAAAACTGTTGTGACCAACAATTCAGTGACAGAAATTAGCAACAGAATTTTTGCATCGTTAATTCGTTTGCTAAAAATTTTATAATTAATATCAGTGATGGAAATTTCCGACAGAAAAAATTCTGTCTCTAAATATGTTATTGATAGATTTTTTGACAGATAGAAATTCCGTCGTTAATATTGGTAAAAGAAAAATTCCATTGCTAAATTTAGTTAGGAAATTTTTGTAAGTAATCTATCAGAAATTAGTAACAGAATAATTTTTCATTGCTAATTCCATTGATAATGAGTTGTTTTTTTTAGGGAAAACCATATTGAAGGTACCTATACTTTCTCTCAATTTTTAATTTGGTACCTATGTGTTTTTTTCCCTTTAATTAAACATTTAATTTTATCTTTTTAGCAACATTAGCTCTTATAACTTTATTCTATTGATATTTTTAGTCTCTATATAAGGATTAATGATGTTAATAAAGGAAAAATAAAGATTTAGTTAAGAACAAAAAACACATAGGTACCAAATTGAAAATTGAAAAAAAGTATAAGTACCTCCAATATGGTTTTCCTTTATTTTTATAATAGCTTTTGTTTAGTTGCAGACAATTCTTGTATTGTGATTGACTACTTTCATTTTTAATGATTACTTTTGTTTAATAATTGACTATTTTAGTTTCTCTTTTGATTATTTTTGTTTCAGAAATTCAAAAAATACATTAAATGTTGTTGGAGATCTAGTGACTACTTTTTATTTAATTATTCACTACTTTTGTATAGTCAATAACTATACAAAAATAGTTATTAGAACTTTGAAAATAAAAGTGATTTAATAGTAAAATTAGAATAGTCAATAGTTATATAAAAATAGTTATTGGAAGTACACTTTCACAAAATTTTAAAATTCTAAAATAATATAAGGGGTTTGATTTGGTATTTTGAAATTCATCCCTCCTAATTTGTTCTTTAGTATTTTTTTAGGGGCATTTTGGTGTCTTTTTCCCTATGACAATTGAGCATTCGAACAAGGCTTCTTTTTTTTTTTGGGAAAAAGAACTCAAATTACTATGCATGCAATTAGCGAAAGTCGGAACAGTTATGATAAAAAAATTGGTGAGCCAAGAACCTAGTTTTGCATAAATGGACAGTCAAAACATAACTAACATCCAAACTAGCACAGAGACCAAAAAGCTAACGCATGCCGGCATTCTGGACATGCCTTAAGCAATAGTATTCTGTTTTTTATTATAAGATTTTTTTAACCAAATTGTGCGATTTAAAAAAATAGTTAAAATTAGTTAAAAGTAATTAATATGTAACAAATATAGTTTTTTTTCAAATATGTAATAAATGAATAAATATGAGAGAGTAATAGTGAGATAAATGAAGAAAGAGAATATATTAAATATATTAAATTAGAGATAAAATAGGTAATATTGCGTTAAATGCTCAAACAAACACAAAGAGAATCTTATAAAAAAGAAAAAACCCATTTTAAAAATTAGATCTTATAATAAGAGACAGAAGGAGTAAGTATTATTCATGATAATGCAAACACATCTTGTCTGTTTCCTTATTTGCGAACCACTGTTTTCGACTGGGGAGGGAGAAATGGTCTCAAAAGTCAGAACGTGGATAATGAACCGCAGGGGAGGAAGAAAGGGAGAGACAAAAGAAAAGGGTATATAAGTAAATTAACAGGAGTTGGAACTACAAATTGATGCATGCCACCTATTCTGTTATTATATAAATTTGAGTTTGAATTTGGATGATTAATCTGTCTTTTTAATAATTTGAGGGAATTTTTTTCGGGAAAAAAATTAAAAATCTGTCGGACTCTTGATGCCATCTATCGACTCTGGGCCTCTAGCGCACAAATAGCAGTATAATGATTGGCATTCTAGCCCACAACTCAAATGAAAACAAAAAAAACAAAAGCAACGCCTCTTTGCGTTTTATCTCACCGGCTTTCTTAACATCACGCCGGCGCTCTCTTGCGTGTCGCCCCCATAGAGTTTCTTCACTCTGTCCGCCGTCGTACGCCGTCGAGGAGGCATTGAGTCTCCGTAGCTTTGCCCTGATCAGGTTCCTTTTTCGCTATCCATGTATCACTCTTCTTCATCTCTCATTCTTCTCCATGTGTTCAGCCTGTTTTCTTTTCCTTCATTTCGTCTTTCTTCGATCGGCTTCCATCTTTATCAAACTCTAATTCGCTTTCAATTTTTGTTTGCCTCTCATTGATGGAGTGTATCTACGAGTTTGATCGCTCTTGTTTTGTATCTTTGGAATGTTGTGATAGCTAGTGATGAGGCTAAAAATGCCATACCAATTGCTCTTGTTTTTGTTTGTTTAGAGTGTCTTTCTGTTAAATTGTTTCTATATTTGAGATTTCCATGTTAGATTGATACTATGTTATTGAGTATCTGTTGAAAAATGGTTCTGTATTATATTGGCTTTAAAAGTGTTTTTATTCTTATTTCACCAGCGCCATTTATTTCTTCTGTATCATGTAGCTGTTAAACCGGTCCAATTGGGTATTATATTCTATCAACATCGGCAGGCACCATGTTTTGCTGGAGACAACTACGTTTCACTATGCATTTTTTTCATTATGGCCTTATGGGCATGTCTGTTTAAATTGTATTGGAAATTTAAGTTAGACAAAATTATACTCTGGTAAAGCTGCGCTTTGCTGAGTAATTGTTAAAAGCAGGCTATATATTGAACAAAACGTAAGTTGCTTCCATATAAAACAAAATACAACATGCTGCTATATTGAGAAACAGATCGCCACGTCCAATTTTGAGTGAACAGTTCAGATGCAATTTAAAAGCTTAATGGTGGGTTACATTCTGAGTGCTTAGATTAATCCAATGGACAGAAATTAAAGCTTCTCGGGACGTGCAGAGGTTAGACGCATCAGGGATCCAGATCCGTGTTATGAAGAGGTGATAGCTCTGGTGGAGAAGTTCGGCATGAGACCAGACAATGGAAGAAGAAGGAAGAAGCAGTGGGTTGTCAGACTGAAGAGAAATTGGGAAAGAATGAGAAATTGAATTTAGAGACAGTTGAGAGAGGGTGTGGGGGAATTAAATTTGGCTGGTTTGGTGGTGAAGTGAAGAAGTTGAGTTGAACAGAGATGATCTAGAGGCTAGATACAGAGCAAGATTGTGAATTTGTGATGATGAAGCTTATAACGCATCCGGTGATTTAGAAAGGTAAAAAAAATCATTCCCATGTATTTTCTTTTCTATTCTGAGTTTCAAGATTGGCCTTCATTGTGACTGGCTTTTTCTGGAACTCAATGGTGTTGTTATTTCATCCTCCAAGTTGGTGATTCAGTTGTTTGGCACCTGTCTGGAATTTTGCATCTCCTGGTTACCTCTGTTCACTGAATTTGGTTAACCGTGGCTTGAATAGGCTTTTGAGGATCTAATTATTTTCAGTCTTCCCTTAAAGCTTTGTTCGATGAAATTTGAATATTATCTTTGATACTTTGTTTCATGAGAGTAATCATAATAAGATTACGGGCACAGTAATAATTTGGCATTATTAGATCGTGACAATCATTCTTAAATATGAGTGTTGTGGGAGTTCTGATGCCTTCTCCATTTTCATTCATTTCTTGTAAATTAAAATTTGCATTCGAAATGTGAAACGAGCAGTGCTGCCATGTGAGGCTTGATTCCACCATGTAAAGAGCAACTTTACTGTAGAAGTTAAGTAAGATAACCTGGAAATTTTGAAGAGCAATGCTAGCTATTCTTTTTTAATAGAGATGCATGTGTCAACTTGATTGAAATCTTGTGCTGCAGGAGGTAGTGGCAAAGGAGGATGACCAGATGTGACTTATATTTTGTTGTTGACTTGTAATTTGTAAACAAGTATGAGATTTATATGGTCTCTATTGCGATTTGACTGAACAAGTCCTGCATTTTAATGCTTTCTCTACTCATGACATGGTTTTATGTTATCTCTAGTTATCTACTGTTGAGAATGGCAAACGCGCCCTTGTGACTCTTAGTATATTATATATACTAGAGTTTATCTATCTTGTTTATTTTGCTATATTTTATCATTTATCTAGCAGTATTCAATTTAAATCTATGTAGTTAGATGTCCAGATTTGCTTGAGAGAATCCATTGTCTCGATCTTTCTAAACCTACAGACTTATAACCTAGGTTCTGATTGAGAATAATATGAACCAGAGAAGTTCCTTACGGTATTTTCACCCAATCTTCATCTACAATAATTTCTGTGTTGTTCTTGATATATTTTGTGCATTTGAAATATTACTATTTAGAGGGAGAAAATGAAATTGGATCCAGGGATATTATGATATTGGAGTTTCGGTGAAGCTGTACCCAGTTTCTTCTTTTCTATTTCTATTTCTCTAAAAAATTACAGGGTCTTTAAAAAATTACAAAAAATTTGTTTTCTTCCCCGTGACAACCACAGATGTTCAGAAACTTAAATTCAGTCAATCCATGTGTATTTCTATTTGGAGCTTGTGTTTTCTTCTCGGATTCAAGTTATTTTATCTATTACAATAATTTCTGTTCGACTACATTGATCATTTAATTCATTCTTTGTCTTGTACACGACTGATTTTGTTTTTGATTCTTTATGGTCACAAGCATTCACCCCTGTTATCTCTTCACTTCCTTTTCCAGGTTTCCATTCTTTTACCATAACTTATCAAGATATGCCCTTCTCAGTTAATTATCAATTGCTATTATGTTTAGGCCGACTCAAAAACTATAAATTCTTTATCCAAAAAGTTGGTCTGGCTTCTGTTGCCGATTCACTTTATAGTCATCTGCATAACAATAGTTGCAGCGTGGAGAAGTCATTATCCATGGAAAATGCCAAACTAGATGCTCAATGTGTTGCCCAAGTCTTAGATAGATGCTTTCCTACGCAGCCTCATTTGGGTATTAGATTTTTCATTTGGGCTGGACTGCAGTCTAGATACAAGCATAGTGCTTACATGTACAAGAAAGCATCAGTTGCCATTAATCGAAATCCACAGGTCATATTGGATGTGATACTTTCATATGAATCTGAGGGGTATTTTGTTACCACTAAGATATTTAAGGAGGTTTTGAGACTTTGTAAAGAAGCTCAGCATGCTGACACGGTTAATGTAGCTTTATGGCTATTAAGAAAAATGGAAGAATTAAATTTGTGTGCTGACACCACCGTGTTCAATATTGTGATAAGTTTGTGTTGCAAGGCAGGTGATATAAAGACGGCAGAAAACTTGATTAAAGAGATGAGTTGTAAGAATCTCTATCCTGATATGATTACATATATGACAATGATTCAGGGTTTCTGTAAGGCGGGTCAGTTGGAGAGTGCATATTCTATGCTCAAGGATATGAAGTTACATGGATGTTCACCCAATTCTGTGGTTTACACAGCCCTTCTAAACGGATTTTGTGGCTATGGATCTATGGAAAGGGCAATGGAACTTTGGGAGGAAATGAAGGAAGAAGGTGGGGATTGTAGTCCAAATGTTGTTACTTATACATCTCTTATTCAGAGTTTCTCTAAGAAGGGCAAGTGGAAAGAAGCATTGCAAATTTTAGATAGAATGAGAGATTTGGGGTGTTCTGCAAACCATGTAACAGTTAGTAAATTGATTGACAGCCTTTGCAGTGAGGGTCGGGTTGAAGAGGCATACACGTTATGTGACAAAGTTAGGGAACATGGAGTATCATATGAAGATTGCTATAATTCACTTGTGATAGCTTTGATGAGGACAGAAAATTTTGAAGGAGCAGAGAGACTCTTCAGAGTAATGGTTGCTGGTTCACTTAAACCAGATAGCTTGGCTTGTAGCCTTGTGTTAAAAGAGCTCTGTTCGAAGGGCCGTGTGCTGGATGGGTTCTTGTTGCTTGAAGAGATTGTAAATGCAGGATGCATCATAACCATTGACTCTGATATTTATTGTGTTCTTTTAGTTGGTCTCTATGAGCAAAGGCACTTGATAGAGGCCAAAAAGCTTGGGGAAATCATGCTCAAGAAATCTATTGTGCCGAGAGCTCCTTACAATAAAGGGGTACTTGAAATTCTAAGAAATTCTGGCGAAGAGGATCTTGTTGAGGGATTAACTGAAACGCACAACGGTTCTTGATGATTAGTTTTTGAAGCTCCCATGTTATTTGTGATAATAGATGTCCTTCTGTATTGGAGACCACCTCCTTAGAGTTCTTCGAATGGTATAATTGTATTCTGAAAGATCTTCGTCATGGCTCTCCACCGCCTCCGTAGGCCCCTCAGAAATCAAACTGATTCACGCCCAGGGTAATTGTTTCTCTTTTCCTAATATATATAAACAGAAGCACACATAATAATGCATACGAGACTCGTTAGTTTTACACTTGTATTTTATACTCCCTCCCATCCTTTTCATAAATCCAAATTTTTGAATTGGTTTTTTTTTTTTTTAAAGATCTAGTTTGGAATTGTCTGGGCATCAAATAATTTTACTCCTAATTAATTGCAATGTTTTTTCTCATATGTTCTTTTTCATTTTTTTCTCACTTTCTTTCTCTCATTTACTCTCTTATATATAAGACTATATTTATTACAAAAAAAAGGTATATATCTTGCATTTTATTGCTTTTACCTAAGATTAATAGATTTTTTTAACCACGCAATTTGGTTAATTTGATTTTTATTAAAAGGCTTAGAGGTAGTATTTTATAGAATATAATCAGAGTGTGTATAGAAGTCTAGAAGTGTCTTCTGCATCTTCTATTGGGATAAGGTTTCATTTTGCCCCGGCAGGAGCTGTGAGTATTTAGAAGGTTTTTGAGAGCAATATCGTTCGGAAAGTGTTAAAAACGTAACACACCCTATCGTCATCTATGGTTAAGTTAGACTGTGAAATGTTCTTTTTTGACCCATTTGTACAAAGGTAGAAAGCTGACTTGCCCGGGGGGGGGGGGGGGGGAATTAACTCCACGTCACTAAAACGCAAGCCCCCATCTTTCTCTTTCACTCCCTCTCCTAATCTCTTCCCCCACTTCGCATGGCGTTCCCATCATCTTCCTAATTCTCGCCTCTTTTCCATTTGTCAGATTAAGCTTTGGGGTTGGTGAACATGGAGTGGGCTTGTAGTCGGAGTGGGCAAGGAGAGAGGGAACAAGAATGATTGTAGAGCTTGTGGGACGCCATTGTTTTTGCGAACATAGGTAAACACAACAACTATTATTTAATTTATGGCAGCGACCTTCGTACGCCTCATTCCTCGCCCTGTTTCCCTTCCAGTAGTAGTGGTAATAATAATAGTATAGTAATAGTGATAATAATAGATTATAAGTTCTTTTCTCATGCATGAGATAGCCCTTTTTCTAAAGTATAGATAACCATTAGAAAGGGTTATACTCAAACGGACTCTAAAACCATAACTTTCGCTTGAAAGTCAAATTCATGAGCTTGTTATATAAGACAACATAATCTTGTAGTAACTTGGAAGGGAATCTTGATTGTTCGTGTTTCATCATTTTACTTTGATTTTGGTTCAAATTCTTCTTCCGAATGCAATCTTTCGGTATTTTCAAACCGCTCAGCACTTCAAGTTGAGGATAAAACACTCAGCAATTGAAGGTCATTACTGCTATTGTCATTATTATCTCAAGTGGGGTCACGTTGCTGATACTTGAAGCTTGACTAGCACCTGGATTTAGCCACCACCAATATTTAAGGTTGTCTATATATAGATGTGTGTGTGTGTGTATAGACAATCCTCTACCCCATAAAAACATTTCAAGCCAGATAGCATCGCTTAGGAAGAGGGCCAGAATGCGGGCGAGGAGGTGGGGAAGTTCAATCCTATTAACCAAAAAACACAAGATTGACAATTACAATACAACATATGCCAAAAGAATATATACATGATTATGTATAACAAATAAATGGTTAAAGAGAAACACAATTAAAAAATCCTCATTCTCAGAGCCCGGGCCGACACTTCATGTAGAGGACGGAGGTGAGCGTTAGGAAGAGGACCGGAATGTGTGCGAAGAGGTGGGAAAGAGATTTGGGGGGGGGGATTTTAGCTGAGGTGAACTGTTTTTTTTTTTTTTTTGTTGCCCCAAGTCAGCTTGCCACCTTCGCACAAATTAGTCAAAAAAAAAAAAAAAACCATTCAACGGTGAAACTTAACTTTGGATGACAGTAGGGAGGCATTACTACAGTTTTAATACTTTTGAGGCGACACTGTTTAAAAAAAAAAAATTTCAAACACTCGGTTTTTGAGCAAAAGTTTTTCATGGCAAAATTGGACCTGATCCCTTTTTTATTTATCTAGAGTGCCTAAGTGTTTTTATTTGCATTACGTATTCTTTCTTTTTGTTTTTTAAACTAGAGGAGTAGAAAGGCTAGGAGTGATATCAAACCCACATCTATTTATAGAGTAGTTTACATGGCCACTAAGTCATGAGGTCATTAGCCTCTTCCATAAATTTTAAACATATTACGTCCATATAGTTTTTTTAAAAGTTTTTTCTTATTTAATGGTCTTTTTTGGATTAATCCTTCCTTTTTTTTCTAATATTGAATTTAATTGGTTTGGCAAAGCTTAACCAATCAATCAATTTTCTTTTCTGATTCCAATCCTTGAATGAGCAATGTCCTTTTTTTTTGTTTCTTCGTATTCCCTCAAATACTTGTTTCCTTTTTTTTTTTTTTTTTTGCTAAAGTATAGGTATCTTCCTGTTTGAGGCATTGTCGGGCACTAAATGTGAACACCTCTTCTAACCGGGATTTGAACCTTGGTTCGTCATATTGTGAGTGACTGACCTCTTCCGCTAGACCTAACCCCCATTGGTAACACTTGTTTTTTTGGTTCATTCAAAATATCCTTTGCAATGTTCATTGGGTAACCAAATTTACTTGGACCCTTTTGAGTTAGTTTTGGATCCTTTAGATATGACCATGACTTGGAAACACAAATCCATTTCAATACGGTCCTTTTAACTCTAGATGAGAAACTTCCAAAACTCTTAATCCTTAGAATTATATCTAAAATTGGTTTTATCAAAATCCTTTTCAGTTTCATATTTTGTCAACTTCTCTTTTAGTAAACTTTAAAGCAGCTAATCAGTTTTATGAGCTCGATTTTTCTGTATTTATTCGCCTAGCCGAAAGGTGACAAAGGTGTGATTATTGAAAAGAAAAATGGAAAATTAACTATGGGTCAGTTGGAGAGTGCATATTCTATGCTCAAGGATATGAAGTGGATGTTCACCCAATTCTGTGGTTTGCACAACACTTCTAAACGGATTTTGTAGCTTCGGATCCATGGAAAGGGCCATGGAACTTTGGGAGGAAATGAAGGAAGAAGGTGGGGCTTGTAGTCCAAATGTTGTTACTCATACTTCTCTTATTCATGGCTTCTCTAAGAAGGGCAAGTGGAAAGAAGCATTGCAAAGTTTAGATAGGATGAGAGGTTTGGGGTGTTTTGCAAACCGTGTAACAGTTAGTACATTGATCGACAGCCTTTGCAGTGAGGGTCAGGTTGAAGAGGCATACAGGTTGTGACAAACTTAGGGAACATGGAGTATCAAACGAAGGTTGCTACAACTCACCTGTGATAGCTTTGATGAGGACAGAAAGTTTTGAAGAAGCAGAGAGACTCTTCAGAGTAATGCTTGCTGGTTCACGTAAACCTAATAACTTGGCTTGTAGCCTTGTGTTAAAAGAGCCCTGTTTGACGGGCCGTGTGCTGGATGGGTTCTTGTTGCTTGAAGAGATTGTAAGTACAGGATGCATCGTAACCATTGACTCTGATATTTATTGTATTCTTTTAGTTGGTCTCTGTGAGCAAAGCCACTTGATGGAGGCCGAAAAGCTTGCGGAAATCATGCTTAAGAAATCTATCGTGCTGAGAGCCCCTTACAATGATGGGGTAGTTGAAATTCTAAGAAATTCTGGCGCAGAGTACCTTGTTGAGAGATTGAGATCCCGTTGGCTACGAAGCATTAAAAATGAGAGATAGGGATTGAGATCGAAAGTGTAAAACTATATTAAAAAGGTGTTTAGTATGAATAATTATATGATACTTGGAATTAGACAAACCTATATATATAGGATTAGGGAATATCATGAAGGGAGGTGGTATTCTCCAATCCTATCTATATGGGATTGCCTAGTCCCATGTGATAAGAAATTATTCATGCTAAGCATCCTTTTAACATATTTTCAACCCCAATCCCAATCCTTATCTCTTATTTTTAATACTCTGTACCAAATGTTACCTGAGTGTCTGTTTGGATCCACCTTTGCACGGATGAAAAGCAACTTTTGAAGGCCAAAAGCACGTTTGGCATTTTGTGGGGTGTTTGGACTTTAGATTGACTTTTGGTCAATCTTACTTATAAGTTAAAAGTTACTTTTTTAAGTATAATTACAAAATTACTTGAAACTTACTTATAACTTGTATAAAAGTAGCTTTTTAAAATTAAAAGAAATTTTTGCCTTTATATTTATATTGTTCTTATACTTATCTCTGCATATTCTTTGTGCTCCCCAACTAGTTTTTAATTATTTATTTAATATTTTTTTAAACAAAAATAATTTTTAACACAGTTTTTTAATAATATTTTTAATTTTTAATATTATTTTTCATTTTATATTTACATAAATTAAGCAAAGTACATCATCTAATTAATTATGTAATATTATTTGGTTCAAAAATTTTCACATTACTATGATTTCAAATTCAAATATATTTTATCATTAAATATAACTTTTTCCTATTATAATAATTTAAAATTATTATATTTTGTAAATTTATATTTTTAATAATTTTTTATTTTTGTAATAAAAGTCATATTTATTTTGGTCATTTTACAGACTAAATTTATTTATCCAATCATAATTCAAACTACTTCTTTACTTTATGAACTAACTTTGAAAAGCCAATTTAAATATAAATCACATTAACCAATATGACTTTTATCCAATATCACTTTTCTAAAAGTCAAATTGAAAATAAATTATTTTTTCTACTGCTAATCCAAACAGACCCTGAAACGCGAGAGGGTCCTTGATGATTAGTTTTTGAAGCTTCCTTGTTATTCATAGGGATAGATGTTCTTGTGTATGGTGGATCACCTCCTTGGGGTTCTTGAAATGGTGTAATTTATTCTAAAAGATCTTCGTTATGGTTATCCATTGCCTCCAAAGTCCCCTCAGAAATCGAACTGATTCACAACTATGGTAATTTCTTTCACTTTCTTGTTTTATTTTGCCTGATATATGTATATATATATGGGACTCGTTAGTTTTACACTTATATCATATCTTTATAATCCCTCCGATCCCTTTTATAAAATCCAAAGTTTTGAATTGGTTTGGTATTTTTTATAAGATCGAATTCGTTTGGACATTATATTTTTACTAGTTTTACTCTTAATTAATTGTATTATTTTCCCCGTATATTTTTTTTTTGTTTTTTCCCCACTATTTCTTTCTCTCATTTACTCAGATGGAACACTGTTTTATTACCAAATAACAAGGATTCAATAGTATAACCCCTTTGAATGAGGTAAGAGAGGTAAAATATGGCAAAAAAGGGATTGGAATTCCTGGCTACTATTCTGGGAAATCGTAAATAACAGCACACAGTGATAAATGACTATAAAACTAAATAAACAGTAAGGTAGGGTATTCCACGACATTTAAGAGGCCAGCCGCTCTCCTAAGCCATCCACATCTTCCTTGTCTGCCTCTCTCACGCAATTTGGTAGGGTCTTCCATAGCAAACTATTTTTGTTTAACCACGCAATTTGGTTAATTTGGTTTTACAAAAAGGATTGGAGGTAGTATTTTATACAATATAATCTGTGTGTTCATGACAGTTTTGAAGTGTCTTCTGCATTTTTTTTATTTATCTAGGTTGCCTCAGTGTTTTCAATTGGATTATGCATTTATTTATTTATTTTAACTAGAGAGATAAACAAGTTACAAATGGGATCAAATCTATAACATCAGTGAGTAGTTTGCATGCCGCAAAATTCCATGTTCATTAGCCTCTTTCATAAATTTTAAACATATTAAGTACATAGAATTTTTTTTAAAAGGTTTTCCTTATCTAATAGGCTTTTTTTTGGAAAAATCCTTGCTTTTTGTTTTAATATTGAATTTAATTGGTTTAGTAAAGCTTAACGGATCAATCAATTTCCTTTCTAATTCCAATCCTTGAATGAGCAATGTCCATTTCCTTTCTACATAGTCACTCAAATACCTGTTTCCTTGGTTCATTCCAAATTGTTTCATTCAAAATATCCTTATTGACCTTGTTCATTGAGTAACCGAATTTAATTGGGCCCCTTTGATTTAGTTTTAGATCCTTTTGGATACAACCATGACTTAGAAACACAAATCCATTTCAATACGGTTTTCCTTTAACTCTAGAGAAGAAACTTCCAAGAGTCTTAAACTTAACGCTTAGAATTATATCCAAAAATGGTTTTATCAAATCTTTTTAATTTTTTTTGGCCAAGAAAAAGTCCTTTTTAGTTTCATATTGAGAGTCAACTTTTTGTAGCTTTAAAACAGCTAATCAGTTTTGTGAGCTTGATTTTTCTGTGCTTCCGCACCTCATATCTCTTGAGATATTTTTTTGTTTGGATCCCTTGTTTTGATTATAACAAAACCATTAGATTTGTCTTGGAGGCGGATGGGGAGCTATTCATGTCAATTCAACTATTGTTGGAGTATGCTTGAGTCTTGGAGTGTTGACTTGAAGAAGTGTCTTTAGTCTTTAGGACTCAAATAACACTTACCTTCTAATTGAGGCGACTGATGAGCTGCAATATTTGTTTTTGAAACTTTGACTAATATTTCCAGACTTAGTTTAAACTATAGATTTGATGATGTTTTATTGAGCAGTGAGCTTGTATTTTCGCTGTTTTATCGGAAAAAGGGGCATGGCACATGGATGAACAAGTAGGAGAAACTTAATGGTCCAAGGCATGAAAACGAAAATGTAGGTGGTCCACACGTGTCCATTCAGACAGATCAGGCAGTGACATGATCTCAACATGGGCTTTTTTTGCCCATATATTATAAACAGTAAAAAATTTAAATGCTTAAAAAATACTTATTTAAATACTATATTTATACTCGTTCAAGCATAGAACGAGTTTAAATTTATATAGAAATTATTCTTGTTAAGAATGACTTTAATGGTATAATTGATGCGATCTTTCTTTTTTAAAAAAAAAAAATTGGAAAGCAAACTCGTTCGGTACATGAACAAGTTTACTTTCATAATTTGTATTCCTCGTCTTGCGTGAAGATTTTTTGACCGAGTCTTGTGTTGGAATATTTTTTAAAATGAAGAGATGTGTTTTTGAAAAGTCATATCCTTAAATAAATTTATATGGAGGGTTGTGTCTTCATATAAATTAATAAATTTATTAAGAGGCGTTAGAGAACCTAAGAGAGAGAGAAACTAGAGAGAGAACCTCCCTCTTGGGAAGTGTGCGATCCTTCCTGTTGCCCACTGCAACAGGTCCCTCCTGAACTTTGCTCCTCCACTGCCACTGCAGTGAGGGTTACTGTGTGACATTACAGCCCCCCTCCTCCAGAGCGGGGCTGCCACGACCTTCACTCATAAGGCAAATTAGTGACTCCCTCACCATGGAGCAGACAGTGAACGTAGCATTCATGGCTAAAGGAGAACGCATGCCTCGGTCAGAGGACCAACGGAACTCAAAGAAAGTTAGGCGTAAGGAGAACGCAGCACCGGAAGAAGAAATGGACACAGACGAAGCCATGGCTCCCTCTCGAGGACCCCAGGAATAGACCTCTGTGCAGAAGCAGCTTTTTGTGGAAGAACCTGCTGAGGAACCAATGACAGAGCAAGGGGAGGACAAAACGAGGATTCGACGGGCCACAAGCTGATATTCAAGGATACCCTAGTTAATGGGGGAACTGGGACTGAGTACATACAACAACAAAAAATGTTCAAACTTACTCTGGAAGACCAGGACGTGCAGATAGATACTTCAGGACTCATCCCTTCCATTACCTTCTCACAGAGAGTGAAAGATATTATGGCAGGGTGCATGAGGCTAGCAGTGGTAGTCAAACTGCTTGGGCACTTTGTTAGGCAGGATGTGCTGTATGGTAAGCTTATCAAGCTTTGGAGGCCAGCTGGGGGCCTCAAGCTCACGGAACTTGACGGAGGTTGCTATATGGTCAAGTTTGAGAATGACTTCGATTACCACAACGCTATGCTGGGGGGACTGTGGGTTGTTCTCAGGCATTATTTCACGGTGCACCCATGGGAACCCTCCTTCTCGCTGCTCAACCTAGAGATAAAACAAGTTTTTGTATGGGTACGTCTTCCTGGACTACCCTATCACTACTACCACAAAAGCGTCCTAAGAGCCATCGGAGAAGTTATCGGACAGGTCATCAAGATTGATTACAACACTGAAGATGTTGACAAAGCGAGATTCGCTAGACTCGCGGTCAAACTCGATCTTACTAAGCCTCTTATTTCAAAGATAAATCTTGATGGTATTACCCAGTATGTGGAATATGAAGGTCTTCCCACTATTTGCTACTGCTGCGGAAGATACGGTCACCTGGAGACAAGCTGCCCGATCAAATTGCAGAACCAAACACCGGTTACTCCTACTCCTGGCGAACCAGGCCATGCACTTGAACAGGTTCCCCTACCATCAGTGACTATTTCTCCAGAGCGCGTGAGCAACAACTTTTTGGGGACTGGATGAAAGTTCCCTCTCGATCTTGGAGGAGTAGCAGAGGACATTGAAAAGAGGCGGCAGACTTACAGCAGACAAATAGGAAACAGATTTGGCCTACTATCTACCTCAAATACAAAAGATACTCCTGAAGTAGGCAATATAAGTACGGATGCTAGCAAAGGTACAACACTAGAGATAACTCACAATGAGCCAAAAGAGAAAAAAAAGAGCGTTCCCATCAAGTCAAAGCCCCTAAAGAATCCTAAAGCTACCCACCAAGCTCCCGCCAAGTCACCATTAGTCAACCCTAAACGTGATTCACTGTTCGAGACCAACGCATATAAGGAAACAAGACTACCTATAGCACTCGATCCCTCTAAAAATACAGTTATCTCCCTTGGAGAGCCTAACCAATCATCTGGGCCCGAAAGTGGCCCAACCCAGACGAACCATGGTCTCGATACGGATCATCCAACCCATTTGACTAGCCTGGGCAAGGAGAACCTTCGACCCAAGCCACCTGACAAGAGTCCCTCCAAAATGGGTTTCAAAGTAAATCCAAGTGTAAGGGTCTATAATTTAAAATCAGTTTACAAGGATGCAAGGGGAATACCGTCAGAGGTACTCATGAATGCCTTAGCGGAGGCTCTGGATGCACACATCGGATCCGATGATGAAGCACACTTTGCCGAAGCTATTGAAACTGGATTTGAAGAAGATAAGGTACCAGATCGCTCTGATATGGAGCACTAGCTTTTTGATTCATGAATTTATCGTTTTTTATGTGGAATTGTCAGGGGGCTGCAGCCCCCAAGTTTTTGGCTGTTTTGAAATCTCTCTTACAGGGATGCAGGCCTGATGTTGTGGCCCTTTTGGAACCAAGAATCTCTGGAACTAAAGCAGACCAGGTCATCCAGAGCATAGGCTATCCTAATTCCCACAGAATCGAAGCGCAAGGTTTCTCGGGGGGAATCTGGCTTCTTTGGAAGGACATTGTCATAGCTCAGGTTTTATGCAATCATAAGCAATTTAGCCACTCCAGAATTCATGAAGGCAATAGTTCTGGAAGTTATCTCTTTCAGCTATCTATGGTAGCCCTAACCTAACTGTGAGAGAGAGGCTCTGGCGAGACCTTCCCCAACCTCGTCCAGAGGAGAATGTGCCGTGGCTAATTGCTAGTGATTTCAATGCCACTCTGTGCAACGATGAGCGTAGAGGAGGAAGCTGGAGGAGGCAGGCTGGATGTAACTCCTTCCAACAATTCATCCGATCAAGGGGGTTTGTAGATTTGGGCTACGTTGGCCCAAAATATACCTAGCAGAGAGGGGCTTTGGATAGTCCGCCTAGATAGAGCACTTTGCAATAACCATTGGATCACTTCCAAGCCCAACACATTGGTGATGCACCTTCCACGGGTGTGGAGCGATCATAGGCCTATCCTTGTTAAGGCAAATGGTGAAGAACAAATTGGGCTGGCCCCCTTTCGTTTCCTTGCTTCCTGGACGTTGCATTTAGACTTTAGTAGACTAGTGGAACGAAACTGGAATAACAAGCAAGTGCTTGCAGACAATATTGAAAATTTCAGAAAAGAGGCTTAGAATTGGAATATGGAAGTTTTTGGAATGATTGGCAGGCAAAAACGGACTTTACAGTGTTGCCTGGCAAGTGTCCAAAAGGCCCTCCAAAGTAACCCCCTATCATCCCACCTTCTTGACCTTGAATTCTCCCTGGTGACGGAATATGAAAATATATGCTTACGGGAGGAGCTCCTTTGGGTGCAGAAATCAAGAAGTTAATGGATACAGAATGGAGACCGAAATACTCATTACTACCATATGAAAGCGGTTATCCGGCGAAGGGGAAAAAAGATCGTTATGCTGAAAATAGGAGAAGGGACCTGGGAAGCAGATCAGGAAACACTCTGCTCCCTTGCAAGTCAATACTTCAAAAACTTGTATGCTTTGGAGCAACCTCAAGGTACAGCCTTCACTTACGCAGGGCTTTTCCCCCATTTCATGAACTCATCTATTCCCATCTTAGACTCGCCGATTATAAAGGAGGAAACCAAAAAAGCCCTTTTTGATATGCATCCCCTTAAATCACCTGGAGCGGATGGCCTCCACGCAATGTTCTTCCAAACTCAATGGAACATTGTTGGGGACTCAGTTTTCAAGGAAATTAAAACTATCTTTGAAGGGGGCGACATCGACCACAGATTTAATCAGACACTGATTGCACTCATTCCGAAGGTGGAGCATCCTCAATCAATTAAGGAATTCAGGCCTATCAGTTTATGCACTACTGTATATAAGATTGTTACAAAGATATTGGCTACTCGACTTAAGCACGTCATGCCGATCCTCACACTCCACTACCAATCCAGTTTCATCCATGGAAGAAGCATCACAGACAATATAATAATTGCTCAGGGAAGTTGTGCATTCCATGAGAACGAAAACAGGCAAGGTTGGCTGGATGGCCATCAAGGTTTGACCTAGAAAAAGCCTTTGATCGGCTACGTTGGGACTTCATTCTAGATACACTCCAGGATGCAAGGCTGCCCAGCTCGATGATAGCATTAATAATGAAATGCATATCCTCCTCCTCTATGCAAGGGCTATGGAATGGGAGGCCTTCTGAGCCCTTCTCCCCCCAACGGGGCATTAGACAAGGGGATCCACTTTCCCCATATGTATTTGTCCTCTGTATGGAGAGATTATCGCAGGCTATTGATTTGGAAGTGAGTCATGGCAATTGGCAACCGATTCGGGTTGGGAAAGAAGGACCCCCATTGTCCCATCTTTTTTTCGTCAATGACCTTGTGCAAAGACTGCTCCAAGATTTCTGAGCTTCTTCAGGTCACAAAGTAAGTGCCTCGAAAACCAGAGTCTATTTCTCAAAAAATGTCAGCTTACAAGAAGCCCACTCCATTTGCAATAAATTGGGATACCAACGAATGGATAATCTAGGCAAGTACCTAGGTGTCCCGCTTCTGCATAAACGAATAACCAGTGACACTTACCAGTATATCATTGACAAGGTTCAACACAAGCTCTCAGGATGGAAAGCTAGCTCTCTTTCCCTAACTGGCAGAATAACCCTTGCTCAATCAGTCCTATCAGCAATCCCTCTCTACACTATGCAAACTACCCGACTCCCTGCTTCAATCTGTGATAAACTCCAATTGCTGACTAGGAAACCATGTGCCAACCAAAGATGTGTGGTGGATGCGGTCTTAAGGACATCAAAAAGCAGAACAAAGCTTTTCTCATGAAGCTAGCTTAAACTTTCATTAGCCAACAGGACCTGCTTTGGGTCAAAGTCATGAAGGCAAAATATAACCGGGCAACCGGGTTACATCACAAAATCAAGACTCGGAACGTCTCTCATCTATGGCGATACCTTAATGCAACCTGGGGTGACCTCTCTCTGGGCGTCAAATGGAGCCTTGGTAATGGCAAACTTATTAGATTTTGGTCCGATCATTGGGTAGGCGATTTGGGACCATTAAAACTTCTAGCTTTCAGTCCCATAACTGCAGAGGACTTGGATAAAGCCATTGTCGACTACATTGATAATTCAGGAAATTGGAGGAGCACCGAGTTCTCCAACAAGCTACTTTCAAACATAGTCACCCAAGTGCTTAATTCTAAACTCCCTTCAGACGACGCTGAACCTGATAAATGTCACTGGCACCTCACGAACAGGAAGGAATTCACTGTAAGCTCAGCCTAGAGACTTCTTAAAGAAGAACATTGGTCCGAAGGAAGCAACACATGGGAGTCCGCCTGGAAGTGGCCTGGTCCACAGAGGATAAGGACTTTTCTCTGGCTTGCTCTCAATGATAAGCTCCTCACTAACTGCGAAAGAGTGCGGCGGCATATGGCTTCGAGTAACTCTTGTGAAATATGTGATAACGGACCTGAAGATCTGAACCATGTCCTTAGACTTTGCAACGTCGCCCAATCCTGCTGGAAGATGCTCATCCCACGCTCGGAACTACATCGCTTTAGTACCCAACCACTAAAAGAATGGCTTATAATGACCCTCAGGAAAGACGAGTGCAAACCTTCCTGGAATATTTTGTTTGGCATCTTATGCTGGAAATTCTGGAAGGCAAGGAACATTGTGGTCCTTGCAAATGGAAGTGTCCGATGTCATAGCATTCTTAATGAAGCTATTGCGTTAACTCAGCATATTAACCATGCTAACGAGTCTCTTAGATGCTTAAGCTAGGCTGTTTGTTTGGCTCTTTTTGCCTCCTCTTGTAAACTTCGTTTTCTTGTACCCTTTTCCTGAGTAATAAAATTTTCCTTTCTACTCAAAAAAAAAAAAATTTATTTAAAGGGTTGTGTCTTCATATAAATTAATATATTTATATGAAGGGTTATGTAGGAAATTGAAACATTAAATGAACCTACATACTAAATTCATTGTATGTATTTAAGTTATGTTGGTTCATGAACTAACATATGGTTGTGACTTTTTATTTAATGAGGTATTATTCCAAAAGGTATCAAGGCATCATTCCATGGTCTATATAAACTCTTCACCTTCACTTCATTTTGAAGAGATAGACAACACAATACAAGACAAACACTAAGATCAAATTCATTGCCTTTGTTTTTGAGTGCACGCAGAGATAAAGTCAAATTATTATTTTGTAAAAGTCACTGTTGTCTTTACTTGAATCTTGAAAGTGCAATCCATATTTAATGGTCTTTATTGTATCCTGAAGAAAATTCGTTGGTCAACCCACCTTGCACCCTAAAAAATAGAAATAAGTAGGGGCGAATTAAGCCTAAAGAAAAATGCTGCCCACGTCTTGAAGACATCATGTATCACTTTTTTCTTCATCTCTTCTTGTACTCTCCAGAGAACTATTCCCGCCAACATTTTGCGTGAAGATTTACAGGTGAGAGGATAAATGGCCAAACAAAATGAATTTTATTTGTAAACAAACTTCAAAAAAATAAGACGCAAGAACCGACTCTCATATCCCTCCTCTCAGTCAGATTAGGAATAAAAACATTATAATAATTATTTTGGAAAACCTAGGGATTATTTTATGGTTAAAATTATTACAATATTTATTCTTAAAAAAAAATTTCGACAATTATACCAATGGTATATTGTAATAGTTATTTTAAGAAACTTAAAAATTATTTTATTTTTAAAATTATTATAATACTTTATTTTTATGAATATTATTATTATCAACCAACTAGAATTGGAGTTAGTTCCTTACACCGTGAGTGGACTAAGCTTTGAATCCTCGTTAAGAGAGGTATCCACTTTTATTACTCAATAGTTTCTGGACATAACTATTACAATATACTTTCTTAATATAAGAGTTTGTTTGACTTTTATTTTGACTATAAATATAAGACTTCAATTCATTTTGTCTCTCATATTTATCTTTTTTTTTATAAAAAGTTCTTGTAATAATAGTAGTTTTGGCCAATATACTTGATTAGCAAGGACAATACTTAGCTAGTTTAACTAGTTTTCTTAATGTAATCAAATTATTTAATTAGCTTTTATACTAAGGGCAAGAGATAGTATCATTCCTATTTTTTTAAGCTATGAATGGTATAATTGTCGGAAAAACATTTTTAAGAATAAACATTGCAATAATTTTAAGCATAAAATAATCCCTAAGTTTTTTTAAAATAATTATTACAATATTTTTATTCCTAAGTTGAATAAGAGGAGGGATGTGAGAGTCAGCTCTTGAGTCTTATTTTTTTGAATTTTGCTTACAAATAAAATTAATCAAACACATATTTCTCCCCACCAACCTCCGTGTTGGTCTTGGTGTGTTCCAGTCCCCGCCTCTTTCTTTTCAATAATACGTCTGTCCGCTTTTGACTTCTTGTAACAGCATGCCGGTTTGCCGGCGAGATTCACGGATCTGGGAATGAGGGAAATATCACGCGAGTGACCATCTAATGAGTAATAAAAAGAATTAAAAAAACAAAACGCGTCCCTTGATTAGACGCATACATGTATATAAATATTTGTGTGGACGACGCCATTGGACCGACAGATGTAAATCTGACCACGGCTCTCAGCTCTTGAATTCCAGCATCTTTTCCATCCAACCCTTTCTATTTTCAGGTGCGCAAAAATCTTTTACTGCTGCTGTTGATTTAATTGATTTATTTCTCTCCAGTTACTGTTCTTTTTATATTCTTCATCGAATATTTGAAACTCCATTCGCATATTATTCTTTCTCAAGTTGCTGTTGTGTGGTAGCTCAGAATCTCTGCGAAGATGGCGTGGTTGTGCAAGCACAAATAATCGGATCCAGAAAGTGGTGCTTGCGATTGCTTGCCTGTACACTTAAACCCACATGTAAATTTCTTATCCCCTGTTATTACTTATATATATATATATATATAAATCCAAAACCCCTTAAAATAATTATTCATAATATATCATCCTGACTACTATCATATATTAGCAGCTCCTTTTCCTTTTTCTTAGGAAAAGTGTTTATTTGAAATTTGAAAACCATTTTACATGCGAACCTTTAAAGAAAAACAAGATTTTTTATACTTTTCTGATTTAAAATATAAAAGTTAGTTAGAGAGATTATTTTAATTTTAAATATAAAATCACAATTTATCTTGCTTTTTATCGTTATCATTCTTTTCTGAACTAACTTATTAAACTTATATATTGATATATAACCTAATATTATATATAAATATTTTAAAACGATCATGTTATATTTATTAAAATTAACTAATTTATTTAGTTTTTTAAGTTTTTTAAATTAACCAAGTAGTTTCCTGTTTTTTGTGGGTCAACATATTTCTTACATCTACCATCTACGCCCTCTCTCTCGCCATATCGCCGCAAACTCCTTCCGCCTGCCATACCCTATTATAGGCTTCTCTCCGCTGCCGCTTGCTTTTGCCCCTCCATCTCTACCCAAAGCCACGCAATTTTGAGTTTGAAATCTGGGTATTGAACATTTTTTGTTATTGATAAAGTAGTATCCAGAATTATTTTTGGTAGCACTTAGAATTCTTAAATAAACATTGCTATACTTAACACTCATCCTAATTGGCCTGTATTTAACAGAAGAGATTAGTCCTTTATAACGTAGTGAACTAAGATTTGAATCTTTATAAGAAGAGATGCCCACATTTAGTGCATAATGTACTCTATCCTATTCAAAATATAAGATAGATTTTATCCATTTACATTTATCGAGAAATGAGTTAAAATCAATTTAAAACAATAAATGTGTAAGGCATGTTTTTGTTTCCAAATATATCCTTATGAATTAAGAGAATAAATAAAAGATGCAATACATGAATCAAAGAGGAAAGAGAATATATGGGAGGCAAAATTAGAAAAAAAAATCATCAAATACTTAGACAAAAGTGAATGTTATCTTATACAAAAACCAAACCCCTCCAACAAAGTTTATCTTATATTTTGAACCGGAGGGCATACTCAACATCCTAAAATAATTTTTGATGCTCTCAACACTATAAAATATTTTTTTTCAGTAATAAACAATATTTTTAAGTAATTTTTAGTGATCTCAACACCTAAGATAATTTTTGAATAACACCCAATATACTAAAGTAGTTTTTGGTGCTTTTTACACCTTAAAATGCTTTTTTAGTAGCATCAAATATCTTAGGATACTGAGATTTTATCCTTAATGTTAAACTAGAGTATTAAGTGCTATTCTAAAAATATCTTAGGCTGTAGAATGCATAAAAAAATGTATTACAAAAAGTGTTTAACACTCATATTTCACGCTTAAAACGGTGTGGTTTTAGATAGAAGAGGAACGGCGGACGCGGGGGCAGCGGAGGGAAGCCTATTGCCCGTAGCCACTAGATGTCTTCTTAAAATTACTTATGTTGGCATTTGTTTTGTCCCTCCAAAAATTACTAAAAAATACAATACACGCGCCATCTCTTGCGTAATTTTTCTAATACATGACATTATGTTACTTGTTATATTATGTTTTCAACAGACTGACCAACTATCCAAATTACTTCTCTTGCAATTAATATATGGTTTTGTGTGGGTGTATGTATTTTTCTATAAAAAATCAAAAAATTATTCCATGAAAATAAAATTTTTTTGTTTAATACTACCTCTGGTCCTAATTATAAGAGCCAATTGACTAATTTGAGGAGATTAAAGAAGTAAGTTAAATTAGTTATTTGTCTTAAATAGGTGTTGTCTTTTCTAAAATATCCTTGTTAATCAAGTGTATTAATTAGAACTATAATTATTAGAAGGATTATCTTGAAAAAAATTTAGTAAATATGAGAGATAAAGTGGATTGAGACCTTATATTTATGACCAAAATAAAAGTCAAACAGGATCTTATATTAAGGACCGGAGGTAGTATGTAGATAATAAAATCAACAATCTATTTAGAACAAATAAATTTTAGGGTCCTCGCACCCACAAGTTAAAGTTATCTTGTTTGTGAACACGTTTGCTTCATAGGGAGATGGCAGAAGCAGAAGTAAGCTCCGTTAGTGCACCAGAACAGCAACTTCAAAGGGCTACTTCACCTCACGCTAGGAAACCTCTCCTTCATTTCCTGGATGACCCACGTACTCTCTCTCTCTCTCTGCGCGTGTGTGTAGCAGTTCACTCTGTGTGTGTGTGCGCGCGCGTGTAGACACACATAGATATAGATATAAAATAGTAAATAGCGTTTTCCTTTTGCACCTTTGAGTACTCACTCGATGTAACGTTGAATTCAAATCTCACATTTATGACCGTCCATATTAACTTGATTCAGAAGAGCACAGAGATAAATACCTGAGGATATGTGTTCCCCTTTACAAAGCGGCCCTGAAAGGTGATTGGAAAGCAGCGAAGCACATCTTAGAGAAAGAATGGACTCTACGTCGTGCTGCCATAACCTTGCGCTGGGCGACAGTTCTCCATGTGGCTACCGGAGCGAATCGAATTCACTTTGTGATGGAGCTGGTGAAGATTATGGATCCACAAGACTTAGAATTGCAAGACGTGAATGGCAATACTGCGTTTTGCATTGCTGCAGCAACTGGGAATTTACAGATTGTTCAAATAATGGAAAGCAAAAACAAAAACTTGCCAAGAATAAGGGGTGGCGCCGGAATCACTCCTCTTCACATGGCTGCTTTACAAGGAAAAAGTGAAATGGCATGGCATCTATATTCTAATACTGTTGAAGATTTTGAAGATGCCGATTGGACTGTTCTGTTGTTCTGCTGTGTCAATACTGGAATCTACGGTTAGCATTTTACTAGCTAAAACACACATATCAAAGCATAAGACTAAAAAATTTCATAGGTCTATAATTTGAAGTGTGATATTGCATCTTGTGTGACACTTGTTTCAGACACAACGATGACTTCTTTTTATTCATTTGTGCAGATTTAGCATTGCAGTTGCTTGTAAAGAAACCAGATCTTGCTTTTAAGAGGGATCAAACTAATGAGACAATATTGCATATATTGGCTCGAAGGCCTTTAGGTATGTGAATTCTTTGCTTTTCATTTTTTTTTGGCAGTTACTATCCACTCAACTTTTGGAATTTGTGTTTGAAAGAAATCATTGCAAATAATGTTAAAATTTGATTATAGTCTAATCAATATCCTGTTCTTATCTTTCAACTTATTTTCAGTTTTTGACAGTCTTAAGTTAATTTCTCAATTAAGTAAATTAAATCGTCAAATTGTGTTTCTTAGGTTTGAAAGAAGAAAAGCAACGTCAACTTGTACAATTCCTTTGGAGTATATTTCTTACTCAAGATGATGAGAAGATTTTGGGCAACATAAGAGTACCGTCACAAGTAGTATTTAATGCCACAGAAGCTGGGAATTTTGAGTTTCTGACTGTGCTTATAAGTACCTATCCAGAGCTGATATGGGAAGTTGATGAAAGAAATCGAAGCATAATTCACATTGCCATTTTGCATCGGGATGCTAATATTTTTAATCTCCTACAAGACATTGGCCCAATCAAAGATTTCATAGCATGTTTCCTAGATAACGAAGATCAAAGCAATTTATTACATATGGCTGCGAAGTTGGCACCACCAGATAAACTAAACTTAGTTTCTGGAGCAGCATTTCAGATGACTCTTGAGTTGTCATGGTTTGAGGTATTTTACTAGTAAGAATGTTTAATCTATCTTTAAGATAGCTTTACATTAACACTAAACAGAACCTCAATGATTGGGCAAATTTTGAGAAATCAAGTAAAGTTGTGAATTTTGGCACAAGAAAAAAAAGCATAGCTGTGAATAACATGATTTATTATCAGCAGTATTTTTTATATTGATGACATTTATATATTCTTTGGCATGGCAGGAGGTCAAGAAGATATTACCACCACCATTCATAGAGATGAAGAATGCAGAAGGCTTGACTCCTCGCCAACTATTCATAAAAGAGCATCAAGGGTTATTAAGTAAAGCTGAATCATGGATGAAGGGAGTAGCAAACTCTTGCATGATTGTTTCAACTCTTATTACTATGGGAGTATTTTATACTTCATTTAATGCGCCAGGTGGTATCATTGGCAATGCAGGAAGCCGTAATTACTTGGAAAAAAGAGCATTCCTAGTATTTGGCACGTCTAATGCAATGGCATTGATTTCATCATCAACCTCCACACTCATTTTCTTGTCTATCCTCATCTCACGCTATGCAGAGCAGGATTTTCTCAAGTCACTACCATTGAAGTTGATATCTGGATTCGTTGCACTTTCCATGTCCATAATAAGTATGATGGTAGCATTTGGTAGTGCCTTCTTCACTACATACTATTATGGTTTTAAGTTGGCTCCTAACTTCATTTCTATTCCTATTTTAGTATTTGTATCTTTACTTGCATTTTTGCCATTTCCAATTTGGTTTGATATAGTCTATTCAACCTACTTTTGTAGGACTCTCTTTCGACCATGTAAATATATGCTTTGTTAAGAAAGGAGGCAGTCATCTTTATGAGTAATGAATAACTCCCTATAATGTACTGAGGTAGACTAAGAGTGAATTCCATTTTTTGATTTTATGCTTGCAATGCACCTTTGAATTTGTTTATTCTTAATTGAAATTTTAGTTTCTATCACATTCTACACATTCTGGTTGATTTAGAAAAGCTTAACCATTAAAAGTCCACATTGAAGGATCATAAATAAATTAAACCCAATATTTGTAATGTAGGACAATCTGCATCGTCTCCCACTAAAAGGATTGACATGAATGGAACAAGCAATTAATCATCTAGTTGAAACATCGAAGCTTAGTTTTAATCCTCATGAACTTGTTAGAGGTGATTAACTTGAATAATCCAATAGTTAATTTAATCATCCTAGCTATAAAAAATTAATTAAATCAAGGATTAATACCATTGTTACTTTTTATAGTTTGATCAAATTTTGGCTTTGGTCCTTATAGTTTCATAACGTTTTTGTTTAAATTTAACAAATCATCCCTATTGTAACATCTTAATTTTGTACATCAGTTGGGTCAATTCACAATAATTTCAAACCACTGAGCCAAGTTTGATCCTGGACATATAATACTTTGCATAAATTTTCATGTAAACTCTCTCATACACAAGGTTCGATCCTGTATAAGGAATGGGATTTTTTGAAAAAAATTAAACCTTTTAAAACTATTTTCAAAGTACCTGTTGAGTAGTTCAAACTCTCAATTTAACTGTTCTTCCCTAATCTAGCTTCACTACTACAAAATACTATATTTGACTTCTGTTAAATATGAATTATTATTACTACACATGAGATGTGGTAGAATCAACAGAAACAAAAAATAGCAATTACGACTTCTGTTTGATAGAGAGATACGCCGTAATAGAAATTACGGCTTCTGTTTGGATTACAACAGATGCAATAATGTATCTATTACCACGTCAGTTGTGTTCACAACAGACGCCATAATTTCTCAATACTACCACCTACGGCTTCTGTTTAATAGTAATAGACGCTGTAGTAGAAATTACGGTTTCTGTTTGAATTATGACAGATGCAATAATGTAGCTATTACGGCGTCTGTTTTGGTTACAACAGACGCCGTAATTGGCACTATTTTTTAAAAAAATATTTCTCAATTAAATATAAACCCCTCCCTTAAGAATCTGCTATTACATAAAACCAATTTATGTATGCATATAATATTACATACAACCAATTTCCAGCATATATAAGCAAAGTTGGCAAAGGATTGGTTTAGAAAGGTGTGCATCTAATGTTAGCAAGTTTTACAAAAAGATACACATGCATAACTTACTATATATTTTCTACTCTAATTTTGCCAAATGTAAGAAGTATTCCGACCAAATGTTACGTATCTCTCTCATCTGTAGCTCAGAATACAGGTCCAAACTTTGAAAATGCTACAAATTCAAAAAAAAATTATTTATGTAAGAAATATGCTAAGGAGAACTACATATAAATTAAAATTATGTTTTATATATAATACCTTGTGAAATGAGTTAGTAATACCCCTGGTAATGAGTTCATACATGTATCTCATCACGTAATATCCGCATTCCACATCTTTTGATTGTTTATGGCACTATGAATGTACACAAAACAAAGAACAATTAAATTAAAAGAAAACCAATAATATAAGTAATGTAAATCATTGATTAAATTTAAAATGCTTACCTTTAAATGGACCCAATTGATATCACGTTGACCATTCTTTCTCATTAATTTAGAATGCATCTTCAAAGATCTATCATTAAATACTTGTAAGAAAATGATAATCCTAACAATATTGCAAAATAAAATTATAACCCATACTTATGATTCAAAAATTGCCTTGTGTCTTGTATCTGATATGAGGAGCTATGTGTCTTGTATCGAGGCCCCACGACTGTGGCTACTTGATGAAGCGTCTATTCCATGCAGCCACATCAAGTCGCCCCCCCAACACCCATTTCTCCTAATAAATTGCTAGAGCAAACTTCAACGGGAATATACATTTGGTTGTGAATGAATTAGTATTTTCGCCATTTGGGCTTTTGCTGTGTCTCAGAAATAGTGGGCATTGGTTAAAACATGTTTTGTGTTACATATTGATTACATGTTGATGCATTACAAATCCCTCTTTAGAAACTTTCTACAATATTGTACAGAAAATTATTGTAATAATTGTTTAATCCAGATTTAACTTAGAAAGTGAACAAATGAATTGGCCCTATGTTTGAGAATCAAATCAATCAATGCCAGTAGTGTGGCTCACAATAAAATTGGCTTCAAATATTGGGCATATCTATGAGAATGAGACTGACTTTCAAAGTGAACACAGAACGACTAAGGAGGAAATAATGAAAAACTAAGTCTGCGTTCATTCCTTCTTTCCCTTTAAACCACATTGATAGAAGTCAAACAAACATAGAAATGATAACTTCCATTGCAATCAAAACCTCTTGCCATTTGCATTCAAATTCCAGCATGATTCCTTCTAGTGATTTCAGTCATTATGTGGGTGCTGAATGCATCAAGCGAAGCAAAAAAACAGACCAGGGTGGAACATACCAAAAAAATTATTGGAAAGAACTTCCATACAAAGTAATCCAAAGTATCTAGATCCACTCCATACCCACAATATGAATTGAGTTAGAGAAGTGACCTTGTTACTTCGTCCTGAAAGCAAAGCCCACATACATGTTACAGATTGGGTTTAGAGCATCATTTTCCAATCAGTTGAACAATCAGCAGTTAATAGTTGAACAAGCAAATCTACAAGCAAATCCAAAATAGATACAAGAATAATTGTAGAGTTCCCATCTTTCCCGTTTGGCTCTGTTTTTCTCGAATGCGGGTATGAAACCAGGAAACTAGCCTTAATTAGTTTTGTGCGAAGAATCAGCTCGCTTACTCAATTAGAGAAAGATCAAATAAACAATAAACCAAAGCGCAAGTAAAAGCTAGAAAAGGGAGTTTCTAAAGAGACAACCGAAGCAGTTCGTTCTCCTTGCTTGAGATGGGTCACTCTTTCCCATGCCGAACAAAATCTCTTCAAAGGACGGCCTTTTCCATTGTGTATCTGGGCTCTTGACCACTCACTGGCAGTACCGTCCCTCTAGTGGCTTGATTTAGCTTTCGAATCAAAATCCTCACCCGCCTTCCTCGCGCGTAGCAGCTTCGCTGTCTTCTTGTAGTTCAAGGTGACGCTGTCTCGTTTTGCAACTGAAGGATCAGCAACCCACACCTGATGGCGCCAAAGCTGAAGAAAAGATGATGTTGTTGATGGAGAAAAAGATGAAGCGAAGCAGTCCAGGGGAAAGAAAGAAGAAGCTAATGATGGCGCCAATAGAAAATGCAGTAGAGGGAAAGAATTTTTTTTTTTTTTTAAATAATAGCCCATTTATAGTATGAGCAAACTGGATGTTTGGACCTGGACCGGACCGATATGCCAAAAACATTTTAATTGTTTGTTTTTGAAAAAACAATAAAAACGAATATTCTCATAAGAAAATAAATTATATGAAAAAAATTTTATATACATAAACAAAAAATTTAAAGTGTATAAATTATATGAAACTAAAAAAATTATCACCTAAAGATTTTACGAGTTAAAAAGCAATTAAAAGCAAAGATATCATAAAACAACTTTAAAAAAAATCAAAATTTTAAATCGTACAAATAAGCAAACAAAAAATAGAAAATAAAAATGATTTTAAAAAAAAACTCACAAAAAGTAAAAGATTGTAAGCAATTATGACACCAGTTTGCAGGGAAATCAAGCATCATATATGCATAATGCTTACAAAAGAATTATAAGATATATAAAAAACATAATTACTTAACAATTGCTTAACAGATCAAGCAAAAATATATTACTACTGCTGCTCTTTAATGAATTACAACTACTGTTTTTCATTACCAGATGCAGTAAATATATTACTACTACTGTTCACTATCAACAGACGCCATATATTGTATTACTACTACTGTTTATTGTCAATAGACGCCATAATTATATTACTACTACGGTTCGTTGCCAACAGACACCATAATTCATATTACAACCTTTGTTGGTAATTGACCAGACGCAACAATTGATTAAATTTGTTATTACTTCTGTTCTATATGCAATAGATGCAAAAATAGAGTCATTAAATTGGTATTTTGCACTAGTGCTTAGTCATTTCAAATCTGCAGCTTTTTCTGAGTTTTAAGATTGGCCTTCATTGTGACTGGCTTTTTCTGGAACTGAATGGTGTTGTTATTTCATCCTCTAAGTTGGTGATTCAGTTGTTTGTCACCTGTTTGGAATTTTGCATCTCCTGGTTACCTCTGTTCACTGAACTTGGTTAACCGTGGCTTGAATAGGCTTTTGAGGATCTAATTATTTTCAGTCTTCCCTTAAAGCTTTGTTCGATGAAATTTGAATATTATCTTTGATACTTTGTTTCATGAGAGTAATCATAATAAGATTACGGGCACAGTAATAATCTGGCATTATTAGATCGTGACAATCATTCTTAAATATGAGTGTTGTGGGAGTTCTAATGCCTTCTCCATTTTCATTCATTTTTTGTAAATTAAAATTCGCATTCCAAATGTGAAACGAGCAGTGCTCCATGTGAGGCTTGATTCCACCATTACAAAAAAATAGACTTTAGACAACAACTTTCGGCGACGACAAAAAAAGTCACCGCTGAAACTAAGACTTTCAGCGGCGACTTTTTTAGTCGCCGCCGAAAGTTCGCCATTGAAACTAAGACTTTCGGTGGCGACAAAAGTGTCGCCGCCGAAAGTGGACCTTCAGCAACAGCTTTTTTTGTCCCCGCCGAAAGTGGACATTCAGCGGTGACTTTTTTTGTCGCCACCAAAAGTGGACTTTCAGCGGCGACTTTTTTAGTCGCGGCTGAAAGTTCGTTATTAAAACCAAGACTTTCTTTTGTCGCCGCCGAAAGTGGACCTTTAGCGGGACTTTTTTTGTTGCCGCTGAAAGTGGACTTTTAGCGGTGACTTTTTTAGTCACCGCTGAAAGTTCGCTACTGAAACTAAGACTTTCCCACCGACAAAAGTGTCGCCGCTGAAAGTGGACCTTCAGCGGTGACTTTTTTTGTCACCGCCGTAAGTGGACCTTCAGCGGCGACTTTTTTTGTCGCCGCTAAAAGTATAATATAATAATATATATTTGATTTTACAATATTAATAAACAAATTCAATCTAGTTCAGCGGCAAGAAGGTTGGATACCAAAGGAGGCGGTCACGAGTTCGAACCTGGAAGAAGACACATTTAAGGTGAAAATATTTGGACGATGACGTGGCGAGGATGAGTGATGTGGCAATGACGTGGAGGTGGCTAGTGATGATATGGCTTCCGATGGCGATGACGTGGAGGTTGACAGTGATGACGTGGCAGCCGGAGACGATGACGTGGCACCAGCAGTGATGACGTGGCATTGGTAAAGCCAATTCTTCTTAGGCATTACTTTCAGCGGCGACAAAAAAGTCGCCGTAGAAAACAATGTCGCCGCTGAAAAGTCTTTTAGTGGCGACAAGAGTGTCGTCGCCGAAAGTGTTTTTTGCGGTGACTTTTTTGTTGCCGCTGAAAATGTCGCCGCCGAAACTTCTAAAAGTCGCCGCTGAAAGTATCTTTTAGCGGCGACCTTTTTAGTCACCACTGAAAGTTTTTAGCCACAGCTGTTACGGCAACGACTTTTCCGCAGTGACTCGTCGCCGCAAAAAACTTTTAGCGGCGACTTTTGTCGCTGCTGAAAGTCAATTTTTTTGTAGTGCACCATGTAGAGAGCAACTTTACTGCAGAAGTTAAGTAAGATAACCTGGAAAGTTTGAAGAGCAATGCTAGCTATTCTTTTTTAATAGAGATGCATGTGTCAACTTGATTGAAATCTTGTGCTGCAGGAGGTAGTGGCAAAGGAGGATGACCAGATGTGACTTATATTTTGTTGTTGACTTGTAATTTGTAAACAAGTATGAGATTTATATGGTCTCTATTGCGATTTGACTGAACAAGTCCTGCATTTTAATGCTTTCTCTACTCATGACATGGTTTTATGTTATCTCTAGTTATCTACTGTTGAGAATGGCAAACGCGCCCTTGTGACTCTTAGTATATTATATATACTAGAGTTTATTTATCTTGTTTATTTTGCTATATTTTATCATTTATCTAGCAGTATTCAATTTAAATCTATGTAGTTAGATGTACAGATTTGCTTGAGAGAATCCATTATGTCGATCTTTCTAAACCTACAGACTTATAACCTAGGTTCTGATTGAGAATAATATGAACCAGAGAAGTTCCTTACGGTATTTTCACCCAATCTTCATCTACAATAATTTCTACGTTGTTCTTGATATATTTTGTGCATTTGAAATATTACTATTTAGAGGGAGAAAATGAAATTGGATCCAGGGATATTATGATATTGGAGTTTCGGTGAAGCTGTACCCAGTTTCTTCTTTTCTATATCTATTTCTCTAAAAAATTACAAAGTCTTTAAAAAATTACAAAAAATTTGTTTTCTTCCCCGTGACAACCACAGATGTTCAGAAACTTAAATTCAGTCAATCCATGTGTATTTCTATTTGGAGCTTGTGTTTTCTTCTCGGATTCAAGTTATTTTATCTATTACAATAATTTCTGTTCAACTACATTGATCATTTAATTCATTCTTTGTCTTGTACACGACTGATTTTGTTTTTGATTCTTTATGGTCACAAGCATTCACCCCTGTTATCTCTTCACTTCCTTTTCCAGGTTTCCATTCTTTTACCATAACTTATCAAGATATGCCCTTCTCAGTTAATTATCGATTGCTATTATGTTTAGCCCGACTCAAAAACTATAAATTCTCTATCCAAAAAGTTGGTCTGGCTTCTGTCGCCGATGCACTTTATAGTCATCTGCATAACAATAGTTGCAGCGTGGAGAAGTCATTATCCATGGAAAATGCCAAACTAGATGCTCAATGTGTTGCCCAAGTCTTAGATAGATGCTTTCCTACGCAGCCTCATTTGGGTATTAGATTTTTCATTTGGGCTGGACTGCAGTCTGGATACAAGCATAGTGCTTACATGTACAAGAAAGCATCAGTTGCTATTAATCGAAATCCACAGGTCATATTGGATGTGATACTTTCATATGAATCTGAGGGGTATTTTGTTACCACTAAGATATTTAAGGAGGTTTTGAGACTTTGTAAAGAAGCTCAGCATGCTGACACGGTTAATGTAGCTTTATGGCTATTAAGAAAAATGGAAGAATTAAATTTGTGTGCTGACACTACCGTGTTCAATATTGTGATAAGTTTGTGTTGTAAGGCAGGTGATATAAAGACGGCAGAAAACTTGATTAAAGAGATGAGTTGTAAGAATCTCTATCCTGATATGATTACATATATGACAATGATTCAGGGTTTCTGTAAGGCGGGTCAGTTGGAGAGTGCATATTCTATGCTCAAGGATATGAAGTTACATGGATGTTCACCCAATTCTGTGGTTTACACAGCCCTTCTAAACGGATTTTGTGGCTATGGATCTATGGAAAGGGCAATGGAACTTTGGGAGGAAATGAAGGAAGAAGGTGGGGATTGTAGTCCAAATGTTGTTACTTATACATCTCTTATTCAGAGTTTCTCTAAGAAGGGCAAGTGGAAAGAAGCATTGCAAATTTTAGATAGAATGAGAGATTTGGGGTGTTCTGCAAACCATGTAACAGTTAGTAAATTGATTGACAGCCTTTGCAGTGAGGGTCGGGTTGAAGAGGCATACAGGTTATGTGACAAAGTTAGGGAACATGAAGTATCATATGAAGATTGCTATAATTCACTTGTGATAGCTTTGATGAGGACAGAAAATTTTGAAGAAGCAGAGAGACTCTTCAGAGTAATGGTTGCTGGTTCACTTAAACCAGATAGCTTGGCTTGTAGCCTTGTGTTAAAAGAGCTCTGTTCGAAGGGCCGTGTGCTGGATGGGTTCTTGTGGCTTGAAGAGATTGTAAATGCAGGATGCATCATAACCATTGACTCTGATATTTATTGTGTTCTTTTAGTTGGTCTCTATGAGCAAAGCCACTTGATAGAGGCCAAAAAGCTTGCGGAAATCATGCTCAAGAAATCTATTGTGCCGAGAGCTCCTTACAATAAAGGGGTAATTGAAATTCTAAGAAATTCTGGCTAGGAGGATCTTGTTGAGGGATTAACTGAAACGCACAACGGTCCTTGATGATTAGTTTTTGAAGCTCCCATGTTATTTGTGATAATAGATGTCCTTGTGTATTGGAGACCACCTCCTTAGAGTTCTTCGAATGGTATAATTGTATTCTAAAAGATCTTCGTCATGGCTCCCCACCGCCTCCGTAGCCCCCTCAGAAATCAAACTGATTCACGCCCAGGGTAATTGTTTCTCTTTTCCTAATATATATAAACAGAAGCACACATAATAATGCATATGAGACTCGTTAGTTTTACACTTGTATCTTTATACTCCCTCCCATCCTTTTCATAAATCCAAATTTTTGAATTGTTTTTTTTTTTTCAAAAGATCTAGTTTGGAATTGTCTGGGCATCAAATAATTTTACTCCTAATTAATTGCAATATTTTTTCTCATATATTCTTTTTCATTTTTTTCTCACTTTCTTTCTCTCATTTACTCTCTTATATATAAGAGCATATTTATTACAAAAAAAGGTATATATCTTGCATTTTATTGCTTTTACCTAACATTAATAGATTTTTTTAACCACGCAATTTGGTTAATTTGATTTTTATTAAAAGGCTTAGAGGTAGTATTTTACAGAATATAATCAGTGTGTGTATAGAAGTTTAGAAGTGTCTTCTGCATTTTCCGTTGGGACAAGGTTTCATTTTGCCCCGGAAGGAGCTGTGAGTATTTAGAAGGTTTTTTTAGAGCAATATCGTTCGGAAAGTGTTAAAAACGTAACAACGTCACCCTATCGTCATCTATGGTTAAGTTAGACTGTGAAATGTTCTTTTTTGACCCATTTGTACAAAGTTAGAAAGCTGACTTGCCCCGGGGGGAGGGGGGTAATAAAATTTCTGAGTTTTTTAGGAGCAACGAAATTTAAGTGGCTATATTGGGGGTGCGGTGCCTACGTCTCATTATTTATGCTTTATGTATATATAAGTCCCCACGAATACTAAGAATGAAAGGCCGATTCTTTCTCAGGTCCAAAAAAAAAAAGGTAGACTCTTCCCAAAAATTGTTGCATACATAAGCATAGAGATTCTAACTCCTAAAATCTTAGGTAGGTAACAGAAATAAAAGGAGCAGGCTACTCAGCTAATTCTCCCACCACCAGGGTGAGTTTTTTTTCCCTCTCTATACGTGGGAGCTATTCCGCCATCGTTAGGGTGGCTCTTTCTTCTTTCCAGTGATTGTGCTTGCTATCTTCCCTGAGAGAGTCGCTATTACCCACTGTGATAGCGAGAAATTGTGAGCTTTGGGAGTGTTCCATTTTCCTCTATTCAAGAGAGACTAAAGAACTTTGGTTATTGGACAGCAAGTGAGGGGCCATTATCTTGGAAAGAAATGAAGGGTTGGTGACTGGGGGCTCGCTTGTGGGTCGTCTAGAAGTGTCAAGGGAGCTGAACAAGGGCACTGTGTTATCCATGTTGTACAAAGGGTGGAATCTAAAAGGTGAAGTAGAAGCCTTGGATATTGAGAAGAACGCTTTTGTGTTCCAGTTTTCTGATAGAGATGATTATCTCAAGGTACTTCGTGGCTGTCCTTGGGTAGTGCAGTCGCATTTGGTGAACATCTAGCTTTGGGATGATGATATGTTACTTAAGGAAATTGATTTTAGCAGATGTCCTTTTTGGGTCCAATTTCATGGACCACCGTTAAGTTATATGAATACTGAGAATGCTATCCAGCTTGGTTCTGCCGTGGGGGAGGTAGTCTTGGTAGAAAACCCAGTGAAAAATGACAAACTGGCTAGGAATTTCTTAAGAACCAGAGTTTTAGTAGATATTAATAAGCCTTTTATTACTAGTTTCCAGGTACCGAGGTTGAATAAAGATGACGTGTGGACAAAACTCAAATACGAAAGGTTGTGTACATTCTGCTATCAGTGTGGTGTGATGGGTCATGAGAAAAGAGCACGCTCTTCCTCAGACAAGATCAGCAGTGATGAGGAGTCAGATTTTGGTCGTTGGATGAAAGCCTTTCCTCCATGATTTGTGGATGACATAATTATTCGCATTGATAAGGGATGGTGTGAAACAGAGGTAAGCTCAAGAAAGAAGACGCGTGAACTACACCTACCTTGGTAGGGAAGTGGTTGCCTCACAGAGAGGTACAGGTACGCTTGGAATTTCCAATTCTGGCGATGGGACTGGAAACTCAAAAAGTCTTGATTTGGGCTTGAAGACCCAAGCCCAAAAAATGCTCCTTATAGGATCTCCTATGAAACGTTTTTATAAAATAAGCCCAAAGAAAAAGAGCAGAGCAAGTCTAATGATTAGTCCAAATAAGGCCAAGAATTTTATCAAAGAAGCAGGAGGGAGAGTCGGGACAGTTGTGGTGTTAGAATCTGACAAACAAGAACCTCCTCAAGCCATAGTGCCGTACGTACCAGGGTCCTGTCGCTTTGGGATTACTCCAAAAATTAATCGAATTAATGCAATATAGTGTACAATCCGAGTCGTATTCACTTTGAGGAGCCGAAAACGAAATTAAATCTTAGTAAATAAATGCAAGTAACCTAAACTATAAAAAGGATTTTTGGTTTGAGTTTGAAAAATTGCTAACTAAATGCCTTGAATTAAATTGAAGTTAAAATACTTTTTTTTTATTTTCTTTTATATAAAAGATGATTGAAATAACTGAAGATGAAAAAAATGAAAATGAGACACACAAATAACACTGATGATAATCAATCCTCTAATTCAACAATGTAGGCAATCATCACTCTAAAAGATGTGGGAGTTAAAAACAATGAATTAAGAATTATAATTAAGCTTTTAATCCAACAACCGAGCCACCTCGAGTTGCCACAAAATATTTTCCTAAAATTCAAATTACTAACTGCAACCAGAATAGTAAAATGAAATTAAGGATACTAAAAACCAATGCTCAATTAAATTCTTAAATTCACAACAATAGACTTAAAGCTAGCAAGAGACAATATGATCCAAGATTCTAAGCCACCTTAGAAAATCATAATATATTAACTTCAAAATCAATACAAATGTCATAACTACAACATCATAATTGAAATCAAAGCTATAAACAGCTCAATGTCAAATGCTAAACAATAATTCAGTCACAATAATCCCCAAATATAATCAGATTAAGCAATACAATTATCCTAACAATTAAAAAAACTATCCTAAGACCTAGGAATTGTTAAACAATTATTGAGTAGGAAATTAAAGCAACTAAAACTCCCCTTTGATGATCCAAGCTTCTGCCATTATTGTTGAATTAGAGAATTAGGAATTAGCCACGGTTTGCCATCAAATTCGCTGCAATCAGTATTTTGCTACAGGATCCCATTGAAGAACACTGTTCACGCTGAATGGTTCATGTCTCTGTTTCGCTGGTCTGCGTCTGCGTGTTCTCTGGTCCTTTCTCCAGCCGCGCCCAGCTCGCCTTCAGCGTCCATGTATTCAGCTCCGTTCGGCGTGCTCTGCTCTCATTCTATCCCCTTCCGCCGCTCAGCGTCTCCTCTCTCGTTCAGCTTGTTCGGCGTCGTGTGTGTGTGCTCTGTTCGCTTGCGTCTTCCGCCTCGTTTTTATTCTGCCGCCGCCCTCTAATTCTTTCAGCTCGTGTCTTTCCTTTTTTTTTCCGTCCTCCCCTCCGCGTGTGTGAGTGATTATAGATTATTAGGTTGGGGGAGGGCAAAACGTTTCGTTTTGCTCTCCCCTTTTATTATTGTTATATATATATATTTTTTATTTTTCTTTTCTTTTTTTTTATTTTTAATTCTTTCAAAAACCTGCAAACAAAGTTCAAAAGTAAGGTAGCATTAATTGTCCTCAAAAAATCAATTAATCACAATTAAACCAAAAAATGACAATTTTGCCCCTATAAAATAATAATTCAAAATAAAATAAATTAAATCAATTAAGGCAGAAAGAAACCAATTAAGCTGACAAAACTCATATAAAAGATACCAAAATATATAAAAATAATTGAGTTTGTCAGGTCCCCACTCTTAGAGGTGACTGGTCAGCTGGGGGGTGTTAAATTAAATCGTACACCTCTGATCATTGATTCACCGCAGTGTGAAAAAAAGAGAAAGAAGGCTGAAGAAGTGGTTCTGGGAAGTCAAGTGAAAATATTTGCTAAGAAGGTAATAATGAAGAAGAAGAATGTTCAAAGAACCAAACAACAATTGCGTCGAATGTTAGCTTTCAACTCTAGTACTTCTGTCTTTGTGATAGTTCCTGAGGGTAGTGGCTTTGAAGAAAGACAGGATGGTAAAATTTCTCTTCTTGCTGAAGGCGCAAGTGGTTGGCCTCAAACAGCCCTCGCAGAGCCATGAGGACCCTTTCTTGGAATTGTCAGGGTATTGGGGTAGCCTTGACAATAAAAAACCTTAAGGAGGTTTGCAAGAGAAATAAAACCCCATCTGGTTTTCTTAATGGAGACCAAACAAAAGGAAAAGGTTGTTAGAAAATTAAAAAGAAGATGTGGCTTTGAGGAAGATTGGATTGTGAACCCAGAGGGACTTAGTGGCAGTCTAGCTCTCTGGTGGGACTGTGAGATTATTGTCGATATTCTTCATTCTTCTAAGAACATAATTCATACTGCTCTGCACTCCAACAGTGTGGCTATACCGAAATTTTCTACCTTTGTTTATAGTCTACTGAAAGAGAGTGAAAAGAAGAAAGTTTGGGAAAAGCTAGTTGCTACAGCCCAAGGAGTAAGGGGGAGTGGTTCTGTGTAGGGGATTTTAATGCAATCACTAGCTAGCTGGAGAAATGGGGAGGAAAACCAAAAGCTGTAAGCAAGATCTTAAATTTTTAGAAAATGATCTCTGATTGATATGGGGTTCAATGGCTCCCAATTCACTTGGTGCAACAAGCGTCTGAATGAACCGTATGTCAAAGAGAGGATAGATTGTGTATTAGCAAATGTCGAATTAAAAGAGTCCTTTTCAAAGGCAAAAGTTTTCCACCTAGAAGCCACTGGCTCTGACCACTGTATGTTGTGAATTGATTTATGTTATGCAAGCATTAATATTCCCTTCGCTTTTAAATTTGAAATTTCTTGGATGGATCACCCGGACTTCCATTTGGTACTGAGAGAAAGTTGGAGAATGAATAACCCTGTTTCCTTAGACTATGTTGATGACTTCTTGAAGAGACTAGAGTCTTGTAAGAAGGGTTTGATCTATTGGAGCAAAAAAGTTTTTCCAAATAGCTCTAGATTCTTAGAGACTTTAAACTGCCAGCTATCAGAATGTTATTCTGGTGATTTCA